TGGTACTTTATTGATAAAAATTATATCTATATCTCAAAGTATGAGTAATTTTACAACTTTGTTAAAGCAAAATGGATGTACAATAAGCTGTATATATTTTAGGTACATATTGGGAAAGTTTTGACATATGTATATATCCACAAGAATATCACATGATTGTAATAATTACCCCAATAGTTTTCTCTTGTCACTTATAATCTTTTCCTCTCCCTCCCCCCAACTCCTGTTCTTTCCTCAAAAAAAAAAGTGATATCCTTTCTGATACTATATAGATTACCTTGCATTCTCTGGAATTATTAAGATTGATTTCAAAGTATTAATTTATTCTTTACCCTGCATTTAACTCTTATTTTTCCATAAAATACTTATTGAATATTATTCTGTTCCATGTACTATGCCAGGTAGTGGACTCTGCTCCTTTGGAGCAAACAAACAAGTGGGAGAGACAAATAATAATCAAATAATCATGCATAAATATATAATTATGTTTTGAGAGATGTTCAGAAAGGAAAAAAAATACGGTTTCTTGGAACCTATTGTAAATGTATCTCACCCAGACAGAGGGTTTTTTTTTTAAGGAAGGGATACTTAAGCTGAGATCTGAATAAAAAAATTTAAAAATAAGGTGATTAAACTGGATGAAAATCACAAGAATAAAATGAAGAAGAAGAGGCGTTTATAGCCAAATGAGTGACATTTGCAAAAGGCCTATGTCAGGAGGGAGTTCTGTTCTTCAGCAACGAGAGGCTGTCAAGGTAGCTGTGAAGTAAATAAGAGCAAGTGAAATTTGGGGAGGAAAGCAAGTCTTATAGGATCTCATAGGTCATAAGATTTTATTCTTCAACTGGAGAGCAATAGGAAGCCCCCAAAGGGTCTTAGGCGTTAGAATGAATATGATCATTGTCATATTTTGCAGAGATCACTTGGCTGCGTGCAGACCAGAGTAAAGCAGGAAGCCAGCTCAGATGTTCTTATGAGAGGTAAGAGAGACTTGAATATGGAAGGGTCAGTGCAGATGGGTGATGTGGGAGGATTCAGGAGACTACTAGGAGGTGAATTTGACAGGGCATGGTGATGAGTCCTATATGATGTGTCAGGGAGAGGGAAGTGTCAGTAATGACTCCTAGGCATCTGACTAAGGCAAGAGCATGCTTGGTGGTGCCATTTGTGGAGACAGAGAACACTGGACACAAAACTGCCCAAGGCTTTCCTGGATAAAACCAGTGCCCATGACCATAACGCCCAGGGCATAATTTCACCTCTGTCTACATATCCAGACTCAGTTCGAGTTGCTTTGTTCCTACTCAGAGGACTTTAGCCACACAGATGATGCTTTATGTCTTTGAAGAAGCCATGTTATCCTCCTCATGTGAGGATATTTACCCATCCAGGACCCTCCATCCAGAACCATTTTTGACTGAGAAGGTGCCCTATACAATCTGTGAGGGTATGGGCCATGACAATTTTGTTTATTGCTCTCTATGCTCAATGTTTAGCAAAAATTACTGCAATTAATATTTAATCATCATTTACTAAACAAAAATGTATAAATAAAACAATAACCAATAGCTATCATCATATCTATTATATAATCAGGAAACAAATTCTTATTTTATAAAGATACACAGCTACCTACTGGTACAGTAAAGAATACACTTTAAAATAAGCACAAAATAAGTGCTATGAATATGCCTTAAAATAGTTTTTGGCTTTTTTTCAATCAGTATGGAAAAACTATTGATGAGCTTGATGATGGGAAATTATTCTTGGATCTCAGGAAAACACTTTTTGTGCTGTTTGACCGACAGATTGGAAATGGATGTTTGGGAATACAGAGATCACTTAGTAGATGACTACAGTAACTTAGTAAACAATAACGTTTTAAGAAAAGCATCCACAGTAATAATAATGAAAAATGTATAAACAGATGTGAAAAAGGTTTACAATTAGCAGAGTTTGCTTATCAATTAGAAAGGAAGGTTGGTAAGAGGGAGTACTTAGGATAATTCATAAATTTTGGTTTTAAGGAACCATGAGTGTGGCTGTGCTATAAACTGAGATAGGAAATTAGAACAGTGCTTGTTTTGACAGTGCAAAACAACAAATTAAATCATAGGAGCATGTCCTGAAAGACTGGCAACAAATTTAAGCGAGTCTGTTGAGTTGAACACTAAAAAATCACCTCTTGGAGGTTTCTTACATGTAATCATCTCTCTCTTCCTCTCAAAGGAGAGCAGCTGAGACTTTGAAGTTTGTAAGATGGAGATTATATTGGCATTCAAGGGAGTACCTGAGATTTCCCAATAAAGGTTCTATATGAAGAGAAAAGAAAAGAAGCAAGCTTAGAATCTTTGGAGGCATCCAGCTGACCCACAAAGGAAGTCAGAATAATAAGGCCCATTTAAAGAAACTGAAAACTAATGGCCAAAGAGAAGAAAACAGATGTGGGAACAATATTTCATATTTCAATAGAGCAGGAAGCTGTAAGTAGAATAGAGGCTTCTCACGTGACAGCTACTTTTGAGCGTGCGTGTGTTACTGTTAAGTACATTGTATTAAACCACATTTGGTATCTTTACCTCCTATATTATAACTATACATCCCTTTCCTGAATATGTCAGGTGTGACCAGTCATATGAATTGCTTTAGCCAGTAACTCAGGATTGGAAGTGATATATATCACCTCCAAAAAGAAGTTTGAAGAGTTAGCTCACTTTTCATCAAGTTCTCTTTCCTGTGACCTAAATTAAAAATGCTGGAGACAAAGATTATTCTATCAGCCCTGGTTACAGAATTCAGACAATATCAGGGCAGAGCCTTATCCAATCAAAGATAGCCATACTGTGTGAGGAAAAAGTTCAATGTCGTGCGTGAATGCCACTGAGACTTGGGGTTACTTATTACTACAGCTGGACAACCTAATCTATTGTTATAGATGGAGGTAATGTGAGAAAATAGAACAGGAAGTTTCAAACTTCAACTAAAGCTAGTCCCAACTTAGTGAATTTTCAACTTTACAGTAGCATGAGAGCAATAGGTAGGAAAACGCTCTTTTGTGATTCTGGACAGCAGCAGAAACCCACAGCCCTCAGTCAGCCACAGAGTCATGACAGTAAACAACCAATGTTCTGCAGTAAACTGTGATGCTAAAGTGTTATGTTCAGTAGGCTTGGCATATTCAACTCATTTTTTAACTTGTGGTATTTGTAACTTACAATGTGTTGATCAGAAATTAACTCCATCATAAGTCAAGAAGCCTCTGTATTTTAGGTGAAGAAAAAAGACAGGAGCAAAGAAAAAACAGGAAATCAAGGCAATATTCATAGAGAATATGATATTTAATAGTAGATTAGTCTGAATCCAACAAGGACACAAGCCCTTATAACAGAAGGAATGTAGTGTGAGTAAGTAATTGAATAGATGTTAGAAGAGCTTAAAGGTCAATTAAGTATTGATGAGGCAACTCAGAAACTGACAATAGGAACCCAATCCTAGTTTGGAGAGAAAGAAAACAAGGATGCAATAGATAATCAGAGGCCAGAGACTGGAATTGCCTGACAAAAGCTGGAGCCATTGCAGATCTAAGCAGCAGGGCCTGGAACCTCAGACATGGTGCAGCCACTTCAGAGACTTCCTCCAAAGACAAGCAGAGGGGGAGCACACAGTGGTTTTCCTCTTTTTTCTGCCTCCAATTCAATGTCTGGTCCTCCGAGGGACACCACCCAGCTCAATGTCAGCTAACTTGTAAAACACTGAGAAATGCAGCCCATAGCAATCAAAATCATTTTCCCTCTCTTCCCACAACAGAAAGAAGAGCAGGGGAAGGGGAGGGATCAATTCAAGGGCAAACAGTCCCAAAACTGAACAGACCCATGTCTGAAGGCAGACAGTAGCAGATACTCTAGGTTGGAAGAAACTTGATTTATCATGAACATGTATGACTCTTAGCAGAAAAGAAATCCAGTCATCTCTTAGATGTGTTTGCAGCCAGAGCACATACAGAGAAAGGAAATTGATGAGATTAGACATGTGAGCGAAGGTCTGATGATGCAGAGCCATGTATGCTATGCTCAGGAGTTTGAAATCCATCCTATAGATGATCATTCATAATAGTATTATGGAAAAATATTTCTGGCATTGGTTTTTAATCATCATATTATTGTTGTATTAGGGGTACATTGTGACATTTACAAAAGTGCTTACAAAATAACATAGTTGAATTCACCCCCTCCATCATTCTCCTTTATTTCCCCTCTCCCATTATTAGAATAGTGTCAACAGGTCTCATTTTTCCATTTTCATACATGAATACATAATATTTCCACCATATTCACCCTCGTACACTCTTTCCTTATATCCTGTTCCCTGCCTCTGTTACCAACTCCCAGACAAGAACTGTTTACCTTCCTGCCCTCTGTTTTTGAGTTGGAAAAAAAATGACATTTTCATTTTCCTAAAATATCTATACAGAGAGTCCCTGTATAGATGAATTATGTAATAAAGGCCTGACTTGATAGAAGGGACTCTAAAAGTTATTGAGTAGACATAATAACTTCTATCAACTTATTAGAAACTAACATTCTGGTGATGCAAACCCTAAGCCAATGAAGTTAAGAATGCTCTAATCATGTTAAACAATATTTCGAAACTTTATTTCATGTCTTAAATGTAATAATTTCTTTAGTGTTAGGAGAATGGAAGAATAAGGAGTCTGGCAATACTGTCAGATAAAGAATATTTGAAAATGGAGATAGTTAATTTACAGATAAGGAGAGGAAAAGGAATGCATATATCTTAGGTAAAATGCTGAGTTAACTTTGTAAACACAGGCTCTAGAATCTAGGATTCAAAGGAAAAAGTATCTAGTTAAGACCCAGAAATCACCATAGAACAAAATGAAACCTTTTATTGCTTTATTCATTCTTTTCAGGAGTTGCTGTATTTAAAGATACTTAGTTTATAACTGGGTAGAATGCAGTTCAGCCTGGGAAGGGAGAGGCTTAGTCTCCTTCCTGTGCCTTCCTTGTTCTCTCTTTATCCAAACGTAGCACCAGGTGTAATAGGAACTCCTGAAAGGCAGAAGAACAATAATAAAAATAGGAGTAGATTACATGTAATTAGATGCTTCAGAAAAGTTATTCTATTTGACCGTAGTTTTGCTGATGTGGAAACAAAGACGTGGAGTGGTTAAATCCCATCCAGAATCACAAAACCAGGTAACTCCAAAGTCATCTACAACACAGGTCTTTGTTATTCAACTATTCTTTCTGTAAATGCAGAAAGAATGCACTTTCCTTGAGACTCCAGGACATACAGATTTTATGAGTATGACCAGTAAAAAAGACACACATTGGGGTAAGCATTCAGATGACTAAACCCTCTTGGCAGTCAATCCTGCAAACTGTGTTACCAGCAGTTTCATCATAGCTTCAGCTGCCACTGGGCCCAGTTCATCTACACACTTCTTTAGACCATCCACAGGGTGCTCCACAGAGATGCCTAGATTTTTCAGCAGAAGCTCCAATGGATCAAATATGGGAAGGTTGTTGTCCAGAGGTAAAGGTAGTGCTTTGTCAACAAGAAGGGGTGCATTGTTGAGGAAGGCAGTAGCTGAGGAGCAAAAGAGAAACAAATGACACAAGGCACATCCATCCCCTATCTACAACCCTATGACCTTTCACTCCTTGTGTCAATAGCTCCATCCTGGACCCACTCATCTGGATTTCCCATGAAAACTTCTGCCTCTGGGCCTTTACCCTTGCTGTTCCATCTCCCCCATACTTTCATTCTCCAGATAACTACAAGTCTTCCTTCCTCATATTATTTGATCTGTCTTCAAATTTTACCTACCATTGTAGGGAAACCTGCAATGGCCACTATACCTAAAATAGCACCAGCTGTTACCCTCCATCATTCTTTATTTTTTCTTCTTATTATCTACAATACTACATGTTTGATATATTTTTGGTTTTATCCTATTATTACAACATAGGCCATATGAGAATAAAGAATTTGTGTTTTACTCATTATAGTACCCCATGCCTAGAACTGACCCTGGCATGTAGAAGGCACTCAATAGATACTAATGGGTGAATGAATCGATACTGATGGATGAATTATGGGTGATGCCATAACAAATCTCTGTTCATGGAAAACAATAGACCAAATCACAGGTCAACCAGGAAATGGCTCCCAAACAATTCAGCTCAATCTTACAACATAATTAAGAACCAATTCTATGCCACTTGTGCAAATGAGTAGACAAATAAGACAAGAATGCTCCTCCACTCAGAAATCTACCACAAACCAGTAGACAAACTTCATGAAAGCACAGAGGGATGACGGGATGACAAAATGTAATGCAGGACAACATCGCAGGAATTGTAGAAGAAATGCTAAAGCTAAGTTGTGAGGCAAATGTCAAGATCACAGGCAAAGAATAAAGACAGTATTTTAGAAACAAGATCAACAAAACTGCTGAGCTGTTAAGATGAAAGAAGTACACACACAGAATGGTGAGACTTCTGCCCAGAGAATGGAATGCAGAGTTCCCACAGGCTATGGGAAGAAGTGGGCAGAGCTGTAAACCTTAAGTGAGGTCATAGTTTTGAAAGATTTTTGAACTCAGTTGCCATATTCACTGAGTATGGAATTTTTTCCTGAGGAGAATGGGGGAACTACTGAGGATTTTACATGGGACGATTGCATTTTACATCTTTGGCTTTAAAATATAACTTTTACAGAAGAGAATCATGGTCACTAGAGACAGAGAAGTGCAAGAAGGAGGGGAGTGAGAAGGAAATTCAGAGGGACTTTTAGGCACTTGGAGGGGTACTGGGAAGAAGAAGGAGAGTAGAGAGTAGAAGAGAAAAAAAGACATGATTAATGTATGATGTATGGATATATGTAAATACCATACTGCATCTTTCTAATATATATAATTAACATTATATTATAAAAATATAATATATAATATTCAATATATAATTAATAATTTAAAAATAAATGCATCAAATTTTCCAGTTAAACATAAAAGGTAAAAAAAAGATATCATTTCCATAGAAGATAAATAGAAGGGAAAGAGTAGTGATTGGGAAAAATATATCTGATATATGTTTTTTTGCAAAAACACTGCGCAGATATATAAATGCACATAAATGTGAGCAAACACATAAGAACATATACCCTCCTGCTGGCTATTGCTCTCTGGAAATCTTTATAGCTCTTCAATCCTGTGCATATTTACTATCTCCATCTTCTGACACCTATTTTCCCCAGTGGGTGGACTCTTATTTCTTTCCACCCCTTTTCTCCTGCTATCTTTGCCCATAAATACTTGTCCTTGGACTCTAAAGAACAATAAGAACAACTGTAAAACAAGGATACTCCTATTGAGTGCATGCTACAGAACAACAAAATACTCAAAACTGATCAGTTATAAATTCCTCCAAAAATTCCACAGAAATCTCAGATCACAGTTGCCAGCTTAAGTGTAGGCAATACAAGGCTTCTCATGACGAATCTTCACACTGCTCCCATTGGACTTTGTGGTGAATATCTCCTCTGTATATGTTTATGTCTTTCTGGGAGGAAGGTCCTCAAAGCCTTCGATCCTCTTGGTGAGCAGTGGCTATCATGAAGCATTTTTTTCCAATTACTCAGATGTGTCTTCTTGATAGTTAACAAAGATTCTTTCCAAAAAAATGGATCATTACCCCTTCTTCTCAAGATGCCAGTTTCTTTACCCTTACTTAGAAATTAAACTCTTTACCTCTAAGTACACCTACAGAGCTATAACTGTAAATTAAATTGAGCTTTTATAGTAGGATAGTCCTGCAGTAACTCCTGTCAAAGTCTTATCTCCCCTACCAGACTATCGGCACCTTGAGAGTAGTCTTCATATGTAACACATGCCTGAATCTTCCAGTGTTTATCAAGTGCCTAATTAGTTGCAGCCCCTCAATAAATATCTGTTGAGCAGGTAAATAAAATGAGTGTAGCCAAGTGTAGGAGAGTCACCCTGGCAACTTGGCTAATTGGAAATGACAACAATGGCTTCAAAATCATAAAAGAAAGAAGTTACAAAGTCAGATTCTATCTCAAGATTAAGGAAAATTTTGATGATCAATGTCTAACAGGAAATGTGCTTCATTTCCATCAGTGGGAATTGGCTAATTTTCTATTCAAAATTCATTAGGGCTAGTACTTACATTAGGTTGGATGTTCACTAGTGGAGTATCTGTGATATATCCAGCATTACCTTTTTCTGTGATTCTAAACCACCTCCACCATATTCCACTGTCAGCAAGCCAGGCTTACTAGTTGTGTCCTTATTTACAGAAAAGTAAAGAAATATCATATGTTCCAGATTACTTACCAGAGTGACTACAAATGCTGATGGTCACCAGCAGGAAGAGAGTTACTAGCTTCATGGCAGGTATCTCTGATATTTTCTTGAAGCCACCAAGCCCGTGGTTTCACTCGTCATACAAAGTATGAACAATTGCTTTCTCTCTCACACCTACACACATATTTATACACACACTGAAGTACTGAATTTCATTCACTGCCTTTTAACTCATTTCACCAAAGAAGAGCTTGAAAGTCATGTTTCCTTGTTAAACAAACTGGAGGGTTTTCCACTTTCCCTCAGGTTCCCATGAAAAACAAAGCCCTAAATAAAAGCATTCTTGAGTATCTCTTTCGCAAGCCTTCACATAGAAGAGATGGTGAGAGGTAAAGAGCCCTAAGAATTCTTTTCCAGGAAGAACATAGAAAAGAAGTGAAGGTTTTATGCTGGGATTAAAAGGAGTGCTTTCTCCCAGTTTTCTAAGATCCTCTGTTTTTCTATTCATTTGGAGTTTGAAGAATCACAGTACCTGATGGGCTTCCCAGTTGTGGGAGCAAACTGAGGGTTACCTCAGCCCTGTTATGCTACACAGTCAGCTTAATGACATTTTGTATCACATTTCTCTGGAATTCTGCTCATCCTCATTTCCTATGACTAGAACATCAGAGTTCTGTTACCTTTTCTAGTGTCCTCCAAGTACCTGGGGAATCTTCAGGGTCTGCCTTCTCTGTGATGTCATATAGAACAGTAGGCTCAGGATCTAAAATTAAAATGTCTTTTTATAAAACTGGAATTCAATTTTTATATCTGTGTAATCCTGGATTAGACATTTTAGATCTGTGACATTGATATTTTTACGTGCTGGTGTTGAGGGTCCTTGCCTTCACAAGCCAGAGAACTGGCTGGTGAGTCAGCTAAATGATGAGCCAAAGGCAGTATATAAAGTAGAATTTATTAGAGAGAAAAAAAAGGCTACAGCTAGAGAAGCACAGAGGAGCCGGAAGCCAGTAGCTCAGTGCTCAGGTGAAGGCTGGGGTTTTTATGGACATTTTAACTCAGGCTTTGGTGGGCTTTTCTCATTGGCCAAGGATTTGTGGGCTTTCTCAGGTGAACTGGTTTGGTTTGCACCTTTATTGGGAGAGGGGAAACAATCTTGAGAGCATTTTGCTCATTGACCCTGTGGCAGATGTATCAGACTCTGTAGCTCTCTTTTAGGATGCAGGAATGCAGGCCTCTAACTCCTCAGGATGCAGGAATTATATTGCTCTCCATGGGGATAGGATACTCATTCATCTGCCTTAGGTCTCCAGACCCAACAATCTTCTCATGTGAAATGGGGACATAAGTAGCATGACGGACCTTAAGGTGTGGAACCCTGAGAAAAATATTTTTTGTAACACCCTATCTACACAAATAAATTAAGTCACTCAAGATACGAATTTTTAAAGCATTCTGACATTCCAATCCTGTGCAATTATATGAATATGTAAGTGTATATGTATACATGTATATATATATATATGTATACATCTATGTATATGTGTGTGCATATATATACACAAATATTCTGCTGGCCCCAGAAATCTATTTCAAAGACTGCCTTCCTAGATGCAGAGATCAACTGTGGTCCCTGAAGATGACTACATGTGTAAGCATATGTTCTGCAGTTCTTTGGGGGCATCTGGTGGGCCTTAAATGTGAGGAAGAGGGAAAGAAAGAAACTTGAGAGAGAGAAACAGAGGACAGAGCACATGTGGTCCCAGAAACCAGTCCAGGGGTTCTTGACCAAAATGGCTCTACTGGCTCTGGCCATCCCCAACACCAAAGGGGAACACAGGAAGTGCAAAGGAGGCACACCAAGATGGCAGCCTCTTAATGTGCAAAGCCAGAAGTTCGGGCCTAACTTGTTTCCATGTGAGAGTATGCTATCATTATGAGAATTTAATAAAATTATACAAAGGAACAAATAATTGTGCCAAACCAAGATTAATACTTACCACAATCTGTTATTAATTCCTATGTTAGCAAATTGTTTCTGCCATTTATCTCAGCTACATTATAAACTGAGCCAAAGAGACTATGAATTGTTGCCATCCAAACTCAATCTTGCTACTCCCACCACTTGCTCTCCTAGATACTGCTTCTGTTTCACAAGCATATCACCAACTGTCTTGGAGATGCAGAAATACCAATCCCTCAAAGACCCAGGTCATGTGGTAAAACGATGGTGAGGTTGATGCCATACTTGCATTTCATGCTATCACTTCTTTCATACATGAGCCCACCACTGCTCCTATTGGGAGTTTAATTTCAAATCTTTATCATTCTCTTTTCTCCCCTGCTCTGTACTATAGAGAACTGAGTTTTCAAAGTTGTGATTTCCAGGCTTCCTTCACCAACTGCTTTTGGTTAAGTTCAACTAATGGAAGCCACTGGTAGATAGAGCAAGAAAGAAATGGAGAAGCCAGGTGTTTCTCCTTCTCTTTGCTTCCAGAGACATCAAGGCAGTGATTATACTTTCTCTGTGCCTCTAGCTCCTTCCAGCAAGGCCTCATCTGGGGTTCCACATCTACCAGGCACACCTATCATTGTTTCAGTTCCTACTGCAGGACCACAGCACCCCCTCCCTACACACACACACACACACACACACACACACACACACACACACACACACACACACAGTGTCCCTCCTGTTCTGGAGGCAGTGGCATCTTCTCATATTTTCTAATCTCAGGGATCACTCAAATCTCCCCTGCATTTTTTTAACTGCATTATTTGCACCTTGTACATTTTCCTCCCTGTTAAATTGTTCCTATTCAATCACTTGGTTTTAGCTTTCTTGTTTAGTTCTGGCTGATGTAGCATCTTAAAATATTATAAAACTCTTAATAAAAAATAGGTCTTTCAGTTTTAAAGTATGGACTTCATCTCAAAGGTGGCAAATTATGAAATTATGTGTGACAGGACCATTCAAGAGAAATATGACATCAGACTCATAGAAATGCTGCTCCCTTCCAACTTCTGAAATGTTTGGGGCTATCTCAAGTTTCTCTGATGATCCTGGATGGTAAGTCCTTTCCCATCAGTCTCCTTAATCTTCTCTGTAAACAGATTTCTGATGAGTCTCTCTAGTAATCCACCAGACATGCAGTACAGCCAGAACCTAGTGGTAGCCATGGATGACTTAGACTAAAGACTAGAACCTGCTCCACACAACACATGTTGAGTCATTGCTGATCCAGAAGAGAATGCTCCTCTTAAGGCTACCTAATTCCTAGAAGAATTCCTAGTTCTGAACAAGAAGATTTTCTCAAGCAGTCCATAGGATATTAGAAATTTCTAGTTAAGCCATAAAGTGAGTCCAGGGCCAAGGCAAAAGGCCCCATGTAGCGATAACTGCCCATTCCTGCCTTTCTTTGCCTTCTTCTGTAAACACACTTTCTAAAGCAGACCTCCCCTGCTGCTCCTAGCTAAACAACCCCAGGTCTCTAACCCAGCACTGGCTCACCTATTAATCCTAACACATTCCTTGTAACCTGGTGCCCTGCACTACCCTGTAAGAATCCTGTGAATTCATTGTTGGGGGCCCAGAATTTTGAGTGTGAGCTCATCTGGGACCTCCAGAGTAAAATAAAATCTGAGTTCTCCATTTCTCTGAGTGTTGCTTGGTTTCTCGTCTGACAATATTTCCACAACAGTTCCTATTAGGTGGATACCTAATTCCATATGCAAACCAACCAATCCAGAACCTACACCCCTAAACACTGTCACAAGGCTCTTACACACTATTCTCTTTCCCTAATTTCCCCAGAGCCAGGTTCACCAACTAAGGATAATGTCTAAGCCCCAGAACCCACCGAAGTTATTCAAAGTAGTTAATCTTTAACCTGATAACCTCTCTTTCCTGTCTCTTCCCTTCAAAACCACAAGAAAGGCCCTTGACCACATTTTCTCCACTCTATTTGTCTGCCAACAGATCCTGGTACTTTCCTGTGCAGTGGCATGTCCCCTGGACCAAGATCTGTGCAGATATTAAACTATGCTTACAGTGCCTGCATCTCCTGGTCTGTAGGTGAGGATACATTATGAATATGTTTTTCTTTCTTTCTTTCTTTCTTTCTTTTTTTTGGCTGGGTTTGAACTCAGGGCATTATGCTTTCTAAGCAGGTGCTCTACCACTTGACCACTCTGCCAGCCCTGAAATACATCTTCAAAATACTTTTTTTCAGCATAATTATTTGTATCAAACTCTTTCTTCAAAGAGTACTTTGCAAATATCTCTAGGAGTTTGTTCATGTTTGGATCTTAACAAAAAGCCAGGCACTGTTGATAACATTGTTAAGAACCACTCCTCAGTGCTGAGACCCATATATGATCATTTCATCACAAAACCCCTGATGAATAAGAAACCTAATCATCAATGTCACTTACATAATAAAATTATGCACCCAGAGTCTGTGTGTTTTATTGTTGATGTATTTTGCTACGTATGCACATTTAATTAAGATACATTCTCAGTAAGCATTTGTTAAATATATTGATTTACTGAATATAAATGAAGCCAAAGGAAATGAATATCAGTGTTTTAAACTTAATTTGGATGTGCTTTACAAATGCAGTTTTTGTGAAAACTGAACTTGTAGACAAATTGGAAATTCAATTAATCATTCAGCAAGCATCATATTAAGTATGTTTTGTGTGTCCAGCTCTGTGGTAGATTCTGGGAATATAGCAGTAACACGAATTGGCCTGTCTGCTGCCTCATTTCAATTATATTAAAGAAAACTGTTAGAACCAAGTTAGTGTGTCACTTTTTTTCTCTGTGAGGAAAGTGATAGTTATGAAAATGCCAACTGAATATAGATGCAAGACACTGGACAGGAAACAGAAAAGAGTTGACCTGAAGGCTTACCTGACATACTTCTTTCTGGCTAAAAAGGAGATGATCTCTGGGAAGTCACATTGGAAATGTGGAAGGAGAGCATGCTATCTTCTCTCTTGTATTCGCTGCTAATGACATGCTCCAAAATGGTTCAAAATAAGCCTATATGAGGTGAGGGTGCAGGGGGGCTTGTCAGG